TCTTTGTGTGTATCAATTATTATATGTGGTGGAAATGATGCATGACAGTTAATGATAATCATGATGGCGATAATGATAAGTCTTCAGCGCATTCTTGATATCGACATGTTAAAGTGCGCTTTACAACACTTTGCGGGGACTTTGACCAGACTGCATTGAGCGGACTACAATATTTGGAAGGTCTTTTTCAGTTTTATTTTTTGTCCAGCATCCTTACTATTTGCGAGAAGAGTGAGGTTTCTTCAACGCAAAGCTATTGAAATTGGCTTATGACAACATGGAAAAGGGGCTTGAGAACCAGTTTTGAGCACCTGTTAACATCAGCGCTCGTGTGCGATCAATTTCGTTTCCTTCCTAACATCTAGACTTTTCCAGAGAGCTGTTTTCTAATGAAGCAAAGCTTCTCCTCCCCCTTTGAAAAATCAGGACGAGAAACTAGATGTTGGGGGAGGGGAAAATGGATTAGCAGACGCTATGGCTTTTCCCAATCTTTTTTCGACGAGGAGGCTGCGTTTTCAATGAGTCTCGATCATTTCTATCTCCGTTCAGTAAGAACCAAGTATAAAACGAAAAGGCAAAATTTGCAGTATGGATAGCTCTCCAGGTGACTATGAAAATTGATACAATTTTTGCGAAAGGCAAAGTCAGGATTGAATGGAAAGTCTAAAACAAAAAAACGTGTCAGTAAAGCAATGGTTCTTTGGAGGGAAAGAAATAAAGTTTTAATTACTTCACCTTCCTAAAAACTTCTACTGACAAACATTTGATTTTCTTATCCCTGAAGAAATAATCAGTACCAAAGGTACTAAAAAGAGATGGGAGAATTGCTATTTGATGGAACGAGAAAATTTTTTTCCTATGAGTTGCTTACATTTTTTACAGAATCTTCATGACTAAACCTCATCTTACTCTCGAACTAAAGGTCTTTCCTCAGAAACATGATAAAAGGGAGGAAAAATTAAATTAGTCCTACCTTCTGAAAAGTCTTCTACTCGTGGGTTTAATTGTGATGGCAAGAGGCGTCAGAACACTTGAGCCAACCGCTCATATAATGTATCGAATTGAGTTAGTTAAATTATTTCCCAAGCGGAGTTCCCTTTACTGGGGCATAAAGTCATAAGAAGGCGATTTTTTCAGAAAGTTCCTAGTTATCAACTTATGGTGTTAGTCTGTCAAATGGTCAGGAGGATCGTCAGTCAGTCATTCAGTTAGTCAGTTAGTCTGTCAGTCAGTCAGTCTGTCTGTCTGTCAA